TGTCTAACATTTTGGGCAGCGAAAAGTGGATATATTGGGAAATGTTTCACTAATTAATAATGTTCTAATTTTATCAATGTCTGTTAGCCCGATATGGTCGATTTTGGCTGCCCCGCAGTAATTTGGCTGCCCTTACACAGATGGCCCGATATAGATCAAATCGGCTGCCCATCTCATCTTGTGTTTCGTTGGAGAATTCATGCCGCAGGACTCGGAATTAGTGTAACTGAGCGGAAATCTCGGAGGAATACATAGACGTTAGAGCTTATCCATGACATGTGCAGCAATGGAAAATGCTGCATGATGACAACAATGCAGCTCATACAGAGTAAATAGTCTCCTTTTGCATATTAATATTTGCATTCATGAAGTTATCATATTAATACCTTACATACTTCAGTCCTCTTTGGTGGGGTGCCTCGAGCAGAAACATTCCTGTCCACTGATATCATGCAAAAAGTCCATGAAATGGCCCACTGTATCTTTAAAGAAGAAAGGGCTCGAATAAACCCTTCTGCTGTGGCACTCCTGGATGCACTAGCAATCTCAGAAGTCAACAGCCTTAGAACATTAGGAAAAGAAGTTATTGCACACAGTCTGAGTGGTTTGTGCTCATTGCTTGCAAAAGGGAATCAGTTGAATGACAAAGAGGACAGTATAAGTAGTGTTGTAGTGTTGATGGTGATAATGGCATAGTAATAGAGGATTTATTGAAAAAAGTCAAAATGGATGACGATGAAACAGGCTATATTGCAAGATGTCTTATGGATGTGTAAGCTTCATTCCCTCTTTTATTATTTTGGTTCCCTTGTACTAACATCTGACATATATTATAATCAATTGGATATATAACTGTATTCAAGTGATACATTAACATGGGTACAGGTCTATGGTGGATCAACTCTGTCTGAACGCACAATAGATATGCATCTTATTGGACCATGTGCGAGAACACCAGGAAGCATGTTTATCTAGTAAGTAATTCATTGTTATGTTATCTACAGCTTGTGACATCACTCAATATTAATACGCTTTTATAAGTGGAGAAAATCACTCCAACGCAGACTGTGAAGAAAAAAGGTCCCATTCAGATGGTGCACGCTCTGGGAAACCATGTGATTTCATATTTATGGTAGGTTGATTTCAGCTTTGAATTCATGTGGATTGACTAACAGCTTTCTTGGTAGAACCGCAGCCGAGAAGGTGGCGTAGGTGAGAACACAGGACCAAAGTTCCGCGATCATCATGACAAGGCAAAAACCAATTTCATGGACATCATAAAAGTGGCTCGTGCACAGCACATCCAGCTCCAGACTGAACTCGTTCAACAAAGTGGCTTCAACCCCCTGCCCCCAATCCTCAGTAAGACCCTTGATGCAATTCCAATTTCATTTTTCCAAATAATTGGGATGCGTATCCGATTTTATATGCTACTTAAAGTCAATGGGGACATTTTCGCGTTTTGGAGTGGGCCTCTGAGGATCTTCCTGAGTCCAATGCTGATGTAGGAGAAGTTATTCAAGTGTGCAAATCTTTTATTACGCACAAGGTATTACATACTTTCTCTTTTTTTCTTTACTCTGGCCTGTTCTGGCATTTGATGATACTTGAAATTTGTAGAACATCATCATAATCAAGCGAACAGGGCGACTCTTTGATGTGGCTGTCAGAAAGGCCAAATGTTTTAGAGAATCAATCCAAACAGGGGTTTCTTTTCCAACTGTAAGGCTGGATCACACACAAATGCCTGCAAAGGTGACTATAACTTGTTGGATATCTTTGAAGAAGGAAACATTTCCTTATGTTAAATTCACTTCTCACTTACAGAAAACAAATAATAATCAGCTTAATTAACACAAATAAATCAAATAGCATTTCTTTACAAAACACTGGAGTTGCAATTAGTACTGAAGTCCCTGAGGTTATTGTCATGATATTGAAATCGCACCTAAGCTTCTTGTATATAAATTCGCTAGAATGAAAATGGTCATCATAATGGAATATCTTTTGCCCGAATTTTCTTTAGAGTTTACACTATAATAATAATGCTCTGTCATCTCCTAATAAGTTGTGAGATTTGCTGCAGTCACTTTTACTTCATTGCACAGAATGACCTGGCCATGGCGATTTTCATTCTTTGATGACTTCGGATGAAAAGTACAGGATTGTTATTGATTTGGCAGGGTCAAGAGTGTGTTGCTCATTACTCATATTTCGAATGTGCTGTATATTGCTCAGATGACATTGTCAGATTGAGCGTTCGTATTTGACCTTGAGATTTAACTCTTTGGCTAGGTGTCCTAAGATCGTAAATCTTGGATCATCGAAGACAGACTTGTTCTATGAATGGGAAAAATATCAGTTTAATCAAAGTAACATATGGTAGGCACATTCACGATAATCAATACACGTATTTTATCAATATTAATATTGTCTTTATTTTAAAAACGAAGTATACATTTAAGATTCACTAGAGTGATTTTGCATGGGAGGAAAATACTCAGCCCCAAAGCCATTAATGAGTATTCCTATCCTTTGGTCGCTCTAGTGAAATCTATGCTATATATTATTATAAATGCTATTAACGTCTACATTTCCCTTCTCCTTTTCTTTATCTACCCATTTTTTAAGCACTTCGATCATTGTTCTCGAGAATTGGCCTCTTAGAATAAAAACGATAATACTTTTTCTTCCGTGTACTTTGTGGTATTTTATAACCATTTTGTTAAATATGACTGAGTCCAGCTCAGAAGTTTTATCAAGTACAGTGGACTCTCCCTAAGTGCATGATCCTTAAGTGCATTATCTCTCTAAGTGCAGGAAATAATCTTGGGACCTATGGGATAAGTGCAGGTTCTCCCTATTCTATAAGTGCACGATATTTGTTGGCCCTTATTATTATATGTAAAAAATTCTCCCTAATACTAATGCATGATCTAGCAAACAGCCAATAAAATTTATAGATCATTTCCATTTAAGTACTAGTACTGCTGATCAGTCGCTATCACTCTTTAATCTTTAGAGAATGCCTAAAATTAAAAGAACTACATTAACGAACGAGCAAAAAATGCTTCGCTTCAGCAGGCTAACCTCGAATTGTTTTTCAACTCTAACAGTCTTACTCTTAATAAAGAATCTCAATAAACGGTTTTGAGTATTTACC